AAAGGCATTAGTTAAGCGGTATGTCCTGTTTAAGAACCTGATATTACTACCGCAAAATTACTCCCCCACAAAAATCTATGTATTTGTTGTAACTCGATCAACTTGAGTGCTTCTGAGATAATGAGGATTTTGTATCTATCCTCATCATAGCATACATGATGATACATGTATGTAGCTTATAAGTCAGTTGCATATCCATGCTCGTTAAGTCAATACATCATTGCTGAAATCCGCATATACATGAGAACTTAAAGGGGCAACAAGGACTGTAGAGAGAAAATTCTAAAAGTTTTATTTTTTCTGAGCTATCGGGTCAATATTTGGCTTAACTTCTTCTTTGCCATACCTATATTCTTAAAGCTTTTATAAAAGGAGCCCGCTTATAGATTTTTAAGACCCACTACGTTTCAAGAGAGGAATATCAGCTGAAATAATGTATATTCAAGGGTATTTCTTTAAAGATAATAAAATATATATGTTAGTCTTGATGACATATCCAAACTTAAATATATTTTGACACTGGTCGATGATCGTTGAATGGCCCCCTTTGTACTAATTGTTGCACCTTTAAGTTGATCGAGTCTCATCTCAATATTCACGTGGGATGGTATTGCTAGAATCTATTTTCAATAGTAGGAATAGGGGTTATTAAACATGGTATTGGGCTTGCATTTTATAATACATTATGCCCGATCAAATTTTAAGTTTAACTATATTTTTACCCGAATGAGATTTGTATGTCAAATATCATCGATATATTGATGTACTCGTTAGCCTCAACATCTATCGCTTCATTTTAATACATTGCAATATTATGTACTAATCGTGAATATTAAACAATCTGAATGATATACGGTGATTGAAACGATTGCAATAACATATTTCAGTTAGATTTAATGACGATTTAGTAAAATTTAGTATGCAAAGTATTGTAATTGTACTGAGCGTATGGTCAACATAGATTTGTACACTCCCCTCCATAAGTTTGGCAACCTTTTCCCCCCATTAAACTACGTGTTAAAGCCACTTTATCTTTGAATTTTTATTTACTGAACCTGCGATGAAATACTTATACTATTGATGGAAACGTAATTTGACTTTGATTTCAATACCTCCAAATTTTCTCAATTTTTTCCTCAATTACAATAGGTCGAAAATTGATGATGAATTTGATACATTTTTGAAAATCGACATTCCCATGTTAACCAATGGGAAATGGTAGGTTTGCCGCAAGTCATATGACAGAATATCCATCCATCCGAGTCCTTGCAAAAAATACGAGTTAGGCAGGCAATTGAATTTGCTAACTTTATTAAACAAAAAATTAATATGTTTCGTCAGGTTCAACAAAGTTATAGGGGCTTTAAAGTCAAAATTGTTTTTCAAAAAACCTCTCCCATTGAAATAACACAGGAGGCGAAAAATAATTTTCAAAAATGACTTTGAAGCGCTGTAACTTTAATATTCATCAAATAAACTAAACACTTAGTGTTCAAAAAAGTTAGACAATTCAATTTTCTACATGAAAATATTTTTTTGCTGAATCTTTTACTGAAAATATATCCTGATTTCTGATTTGCCCCGAACCCTCCATTTCTCGTTGGATTACATGGGAATGACGATTTTCAAAAATTCATCAAATTTATCATCAATTTTCGACCTATTGTAATTGAGGAAAAAAATTGAGAAAATGTGGAGGTATTGGAAATAAAGTCAAGTTATGTTTCCATTTATATTATTAATTATTTCATCGCCGGTTAAGTAAATACAAATTCAAACGTAAAGAGGCTTTAACACGTAGTTCAATGGGGAAAAAGGTTGCCAAACTTATGGAGGGGAGTGTATGTCAAATTATATCCACGTACACGTGAAATCAATAAAAGGGAGTTTAAGCTTGAATATAAAGTCGAAACGCCAACATACACATATGACCAATCGCCCATACAAATGCATCGCATAAATATTTTCCGTTCACGTTTAGGTTGTGAAAAACATTGCAAGCTTAAACTCCCTATTAATGGGTGTATTTTAAGACATTGCATTTATCAATCTGAATAATGTACTATTATTGAAAAGCTTGCAATGACATCTTTAAATTTGATTTAAAGACAATTTCACGAATTACTCTATTTCTACTAACATACAACAATGGAAAATTAAAATAATATTTCATTTCACTGTATGTAAATAATACATACAATAATAATTGAGACCAAAGCGATCAATGACAATGTCTCGGTGCATTACTTCAAAGTACATGTATGGGGCGTTCAATAAGTATTGCTAAGCTAAACTTATGTTCTCTTGCTTTTTTCTTCATAAAACGTTCACAACATAAGTTATTTGTATAAATGTGAGTACATTTAACTTCTTGCGAGACACCACACAATTCCACATGCAGAGCCCTCCGATCCTAGGGGGTGAACTAGTGTTAAAACTGTAAACCCTAGTATACTACACTGTGGCTAGTCGATCTATGTGGATGCAGTCAAGCACATGTAATGTTTCGTGAGTACCCGCCTCTGTATTTTTCAATGGAAGAAATTTGCACTTTTGTTTAAATAATCTACATTTACTCATCCGTGTATATCATACTTCATTGATTTACCAAACCAAAGCAACGCTATAAACACACATTCTCTGATAATTTTACAGCGAATAGATAACTCAAACGAGTTCACTCGACCAGTTTTATCACCTCGCTCATAGCTGTGAGAAGGTATGTATAATTGCCATAGGTTTTCCTTATAATGGGGAATAAAACATTCAAGTAATATAATTATTTCACGTACACAAATATGTCTGTGTGAAGTAAAATACAAATACAACACATTTTATAATATTTTTGGGGTTATGGTATGAAATATCCGCTTTAAAAAAGCAATTTAATTATGATGTATCATGTGGATTAGTAGACGTTCTAATTGGATTCAATGAACAGACTGGCTAGGTTTTAATTGAATAATTTTGAATGTGTGTATTTTTAATATTTTAAATATATTTCTTAAACGTTCTCATTGGATACATCAGGAAGAAACAAATATGGTTACATATAAACTTGAGTTGGGACAATAATTCAACAAAAATATAATTTTACAGTAGTATATTGTGAATATTTGATGCCCGACGATAATCTGATGTTTACTCAAGATGATGGACATCTTGATTTTATTTTCAATATATATCACAACTATTTTGTAGATGGATCTGGTTGTCGTACAGCCAGTGGAGGAAACTGCCCCAACACGCCACATGTGCGATGAATGCGGCAACCTTTTCAATAGCAAAAGCGCACTAAAAACGCATGGTAAAGAACCATGGCCTCCTCCACCAATGTGCTACTGCAATACTTATAGCGAAGCCTGTGTTGATCAGGACCATCTTTATTAGACTCCAGATGTAAATCTGGAGTCTAATGTAAATCTGGAGTCTATAGCTTTTGTCAGTATTCTTCTTCTTTATTCTTCTACACACGTTTTCTCCTTAACTAGAAGACATTGAGTCAAGTCCTGTATATGGTCAATTTAGGTCCAGTATCTAGTTTCTAGGAAATTGGGTCAATTTTTTATCTAGGTCAAAGGTCAAGAACTAGGTCAAATCTTAAATCTGTCTATTATCTTCGTCGTTATTTATCGAAACAACTTTGTCTTTTTTCATCATGTAGCTTAGAAACAGCCCTTCCATAAATGTGCCATCAGATTTTTGATTACTGTTACCGATTTTGAGATATGGTGTCCGGAAAGTAGGTCAGAACAAAAAATTCTCTAAATTCAACATTTGAGTTATGAAATAAGTGTAGAATGATCTCAGGAATCCGAATCTGCAAACCAAATTTGGATCCGGAAGTTATTGCGTTTTGAAAGCTCAAAAATCGCTAAATTTAGTGCCAATGTTAAGTCAATGGGAAAAAAGATTTTTTTGAAGTGAAAAATACGAAATATAGACTGAGTTCAGCTAAATACAATGAAAGCTTTTAAAAGAATGGAACCTCAAAAGCCATCTAGCTTCAAAATTTGGACACCAAAATGCCTAGGTCAAAATCTAGGTCAAATTCAAAGTTTTTCCTTATGTTTGCGATTCTGACACTACACTTTAATTATATTCTTCGAAATGGTGTATACATGTAGCCAAGAGTGTGCTTATAGTGTTAGCCTTTTGCTGTCAGAAAGTATTTTGACCCACTTTTGAGATATGGCGTCCGAAAAGTAGGTCAAAATAAAAAGATCTCCAAATTCAACGTATGAGTTATGAATTAAGGATGGAATTTTCTCAGTAATCCAAATCTGCAAACCAAATTTCAATCCGACTTCCGGTTCGGACGTTATGGCGCTTTGAAATTTCGAGAAAAATCGATCTGATGACAACCTTATAGAAAGTCAAGAAAAGTGGAAAAAATAGAAAAAATACCTTTCCAGTCCATTTCCAGGTTCAAGTCAAGGTCCAGTCCAGGTCCAAGTCCAGTGTTTGTCTAGGTCCAAGTCAAGTCTAGGTCCAAGTCCAGTCCAGGGCCTAGGTCAAAATCTAGGTCAAATTCAAAGCTTTTCCTCATTTTTTCGATTCTGACACTACACTTTAATTGTATTCTTCGAAAGGACGATTCTCGGTTTGGAGAACGAAGTTCATCAATCTAAATGAGCATTATCCCTGCTTCGGACAAATTTTTTACATAACATAGATTTGAGTGTCTTCTTTTGAATAGTCATAATTTAATTTGGGTAATATTTCTAGATTTTTCGCAAAAAAATATTAGCGCAGCACACTGATGAACTTATTTCCTCAAATCGAGACTTGTATTTTATTGAATCGGTCTAATTGAGCGTTATCCCTGCTTCAGACCAAGTTTTTATTTTTACATCTTGTAGATTTAAATGTCTTCTTTTGAATATTCATAATTTAATTTGGGTAATATTTCTATATTTTTCATGAAAAAAACTATTAGCCCAGGAGACTGTTCTCCAAACCGAGAATCGTCCTTTGGTATATATGTAGCCAAGATCAGTGTGCTAATAGTGTTAGCTTTTTGCTGTCAGAAACTATTTTGACCCACTTTTGAGATATGGTGTCTGAAAAGTAGGTCAAAATAAAAACTTCTCTAAATTTAACGTATGAGTTATGAATTAAGGATAGAATTTTCTAAGGGATCTGAATCTGCAAACCAAATTTCGATCCGACTTATGTTATGGCGTTTTGAAATTTCGAGAAAAATCGATCTTATGGTATCCTGATAGAAAGTCAAGAGAAGTGAAGAAAATGTTGAAAAATCCATCAATCCTTCCACCCATCCTTCCTATCTTATCCTTCCTTCTATCTATCTTTCCTTCATATCTTTTCCTTCCTATCCTATCCTTCCTATTCTATCCTATCCTTCTTTCCTACTCTATCCTATCGTTCCTTCTTATTCTATCCTATCCATCCTATCCCATGTTATCCTATCCTTTTTATCTATCCTTCCTATCCTTAACTTTCCTTCCTATTCTATCACTCCTTGCTATTCTATTCTATTCTATCTCATCCTTTCCTATTCTATCCTATCGTTCCTTCCTGTTCTATCCTATCCCTCCTTCCTATTTCATCCATCCATCCATCCATCATTTTCTGGATGACTCAGTTTATTCTGGATGACTCGGCTTATTCTGGATGACTCGGCTTATTCTGGATGACTCGGCTTATTCTGGATGACTGGGCTTAAAGAAGTATAGATCTGGAGTCTGAAATTGAACTTGTTCAATTTCCAAAGTCTAGTTATATTTTATTATCATAAGAATTAAAAGTAAAAATGAATGAAGTCTTACCTCAGAAACTTCCCATGAAACAGACGAAAGCCCATGAACCAAAAGTATTTAGTTTCCTTTCTGTATCTCACTTGTTTGGCACATGGAGCGGTGAAATAGTCCACAGTGTCCAAAAACAATAATAATCCTATATTGGTAATTGGAAAGATTCCACTTACCACGATTTCAAAAAAATTGTAAATAGATGATATAATTCTTGAATTTGGGTCATTTGTTTCAAGGAATCTGTAGGCTCTTTCAGCTGAGCTGACAAAATCACCAAGATTTACAGATGGTCCATCTGTTGGCTGCTCATTGTCACTTTCAAGGAATGTTAATGGCTCTGAAACTTGATCTGTGGGTATTTCAGTGGGTTGATGGTTCTTGGGCTCTGAATTCACTTGATTGGCGTACCTAATTTCAACATCTTCATTGTCATCGTTACATGTTATGGACCCGTTTTTCAAATTAACAGTATTAGGGATGAAACCATAGTTTTTCCTTCTGTAATGGCATTTTCCAGTTGACGGGTCTATATAAAATCTATCAATTTTCAATTCTTCATAAGGGTGTATTGTAATGGTGTGGCTAATTACTTCACTGAATAAGGAATGTTTATCCGAACATGGATACAAAGAAAATCTGGCCAGTTGTCCATCTGTAAATAAATCATCATGGTAAAAGCATAATTTATTATAGCATCCATTTGTTACCGTTCTGAATCCAAATGATACATAGTTGAATCCATTTGATACATATATGTTGACGTTTACGAAATGTTGTTCAAATATCTTCCCTATAACAGGAATATGCTAGCTGAAACTTTCACACATTGTCATACTATGTATATTGAATATGTATGCACGATTTCAAGTCAATATGTTAAGTAGAAACTCTGAGATCACTTACCTCGATTTTCTGTCATATTTTTTCAACGACCCCATTCACTATAATGTACGCGAGAACCCACGACACATTGCATATACATGACTGCATCCACATTGATCGACTAGCCACAGTGTACTAAGTAAAATGATTAAAGACGAAGGAACATTTTATATCTGACCTTATTATATTTAAATATCCTGACAATCAGCTTAGTATTGACGAAGTTGTGGTTACTATTGTAACCATTTCATAGGTATGTGGGGCAATATCAAGGGTTTACATGATGAATAATTTTCATACATCGTTTAATTAATTTTGATAAATACAGGGTGTCCCAAAAATGTACCCAAAAGTATATCAACAGCACAGATAAACCAATCAATATTTTCAGACATTTGTGCATAGTCATGTAACCAAAACATGTAAGCTTTCTCTCCAATACACCAATTTTATTTCAGTCTTGCCTTTTTGAAGCTTTAATCCTTTACCTTTTACACCACATGATCGATGTAACCTCATATTTTGATGACAGCCTGTGTCCCTGCTGCTACATTATTCAACTGGCCTCTCTGTATAAGTGGACTATAGGAGATTGTCAGGAAGATACGATTTGTTGCTGTATACCACTGGAATTCTTTGAAAATCGAAGGAAAATTTGAAAAATTCTTTGTTGAACGTTGTCAATTTATCATGGATCCCAATCAAACAAAAAGTAGGAATTTCAATGAAATACATTTATTTACATAAACTAGGGAAACATTTGATTCTAATTGGTCTATAATCAAAAGGAGTGTTATCGATGTGGATAACTGAATTCAACAATTTTTTTCTCTTAAACCAATCATTGAAAATATTCTGTAAAAGCACGGTATTTTATGTAACGTTCACTGATTGACAACAATTTAATGCGAAAATGATTTAGAAATATTTTATATAACTGTTTTTGTTAACATTTTTTGTTTTTTTAGTGCAATTGTTTTTGTTCCTTTCTACCAATTCCTGAAATGAAATAAAATGTCTTTCCGAACCTTGTTGGAACAAAATAGCATTTGTGTTACTTCGCTATACCTGCTAGTTGCATAAATAATTTACAAAAGATAATATATTTATGTTGGCAAGAATAATATTAATTATATTATATTGACATTTATTTCATTATAAAATATTACATAGCAAGTTGGGCATTTTAAACTGAAGGATTTATACGTGTTCTCTTTGTTGAATACTGACCAAGCAGTCCCCTCTTTCTCATTCGATAACCCTGTTTTACTATGGAAACGCTCAGACCACAAAACCCCTTATTGGCATAAGTGTAGAATTTGTGTTACTTCGCTATACCTGCTATTTGCATATATAATTTACAAAAGATAATAGATTTATGTTGGCAAGAATAATATTATATGGCATATACAACATGTTTTTAGACCTCTCAATATTATAGTTCTACAAAATATTTTTTTGGTTGATTTTAAAAAAAGTATGCAAAAAATTAAAACAAAATCCCCCAGAAATAGATAAAAATCAAGATAAACCTTTTATTTCATTAACACGATATTTTTTAAAATCAACCAAAATTTCCTTTGTACAATTACAATATTGAGAGACCTAAATATGTTGTGTTTATGTCGTTTTGTTCCAATGATGTTCGGAATACCAAGACAAGATTTATCCACAAACTTCCAAGATGGCCGCCAGAATGCAAGATGACCACCAAAAATTAATCACCTCTAGACTTTCTTACCATGTAACATGTGTGAACATTTGAAGTAAATCCATTTGGTTTTCCTGAAATCGTGATGACAAGATTCATCTTAAAACTTCCAAGATGGCCACTAAAATGCAAGATGGCCACTAAAAGAATAATGAGGTCTAGGACCTTTTACAATATAGGATGTGTGAAAATTTGAAGAACATCTGATAGGTGGTTTTTCTGGAATTGCGATGACAATATTTATCTAAAAAAATCCAACATGGCCACCAGAATGCAAGATTGCCACCAGGAAGTTAATCAGCTCTAGAACGTCTTACCATGTAACATGTGTGAAAAGGACGATTCTCGGTTTGGAGAACAGTCTCCTGGGCTAATAATTTTTTTCATGAAAAATATAGAAATATTACCCAAATTAAACTATAAATATTCAAAAGAGGACATTTAAATCTACAAGATGTAAAAATAACAAATTGGTCTGAAGCAGGGATAACGCTCAATTAGACCAAGGTCGTTACAATACCCGGGAATTTATCGGTTCGTGCAGTACTTGTTTGTGATAGCGCCCTCTGTAGGTCACTGTGCTTATAGCTTACAGTAATACGGGGTAGGATATCGGGAATTTGGTCAGTTTCCATCCGTCGATTACGCTATGAATTGAAGCAAGTATGACCACTTTATCCACTTAAACAATTTGATAATTGATTAAATCTTTAAACAAAATCGATAAACACGTTGTACACTTTCTATCTCCTTAGAAATTAGCATGTATTTATGGACTGTGTTTTCGAACAAGGCTCGACCCAGACCAATAGGGAAATCCTTATGCTAATTAGTATGACGTCATATTTTCCTGGGGAATCCTAGATTTCAAAGCCTCAGTCTGTTATTGTGTCAAATGTAAACGCTCTTTTGCAGACAGAAAATTGACAGATTAGCTTTTAACTTTCAGCTTTGATGTTTAAATATTCTGTATTTCTACCGTTCTTGCTGAATATCATATAATGTTATAACTTGATTTGGACCATTGCCTGATTGATCAGGCTGAAATTATGATTGTGATTCATGATAGATTGGCAAGAAAAATAATTCCTATTGTTTTCCAGCGAAGTCAAAATGTTACAGCATGAGTTATAATGTCGAGTTTGCATCATGTTAAATTCTGCTATTGATTAGAAGTCCATGCACAAGCATACACATAAAAGAGACAAACACACCCAGGCTCCAGGCCGTGGATGGAAATATAAAACTATTTAAGGCACAATCTGGTATTTAATAGACCGATATGTAGTGTCTGCCATGTATTGAAGGTAAACAAATCTGAATTATTAATGTTACTTCTATCAAAACATGGATTGTGCAATGGAAAAGCAATGGCACAATCAAAAATGTGCATATCAATCGTGAATATCTCTCGGTTCAAAGTTTATTTCCAACAGAATCGTGTCAAAATATGTGTCTGAGTAACAGTTATACATTATAAGATCGCAAACTCTTACCAATTATCAGCCGAATGGCTCATTTTCAACGAAATGTACTTAAGACAACAGCCCTGGGTCGCGCCTGAGACCAAAAACTAATTCAAATAGCCCTCCCCTAAATAATATTGGATAATCACATTTATACGTGCGCGCGCAGCTCATCCACTGAACGAAACGCCACTTCCCGCTGAAATCACCGGGTTTTGATATTTCCCTTGATTAGACTGATTCAATAAAATACAAGTCTCGATTTGGGGAAAGAAGTTCATCAGTGTACTGCGCTAATATTTTTTTGCGAAAATCCAGAAATATTACCCAAATTAAATTATGATTATTCAAAAGAAGACATTCAAATCTATATTATGTAAAAAATTAAATTTGTCCGAAGCAGAGATAATGCTCATTTAGATTGATGAACTTCGTTCTCCAAACCGAGAATAGTCCTTTGAAGTAAATCCATCCAGTTGTTTTCCCGGAATCGTGATGACAAGAAAATGAGACTTCAGAATGCCACCTTGTCTAACCCCATTTTGGTGCCTTTTGCCTCTGTTTCTATCAAAATAAGAGGTGTTTTCTTTATGAGGAAAGTCTGTTCTTTCAAACGGTACAACTCTGCATGTGGGAGAGTACCGGACAACAAACTCCTTTTCTAGAGCCCTTTTGGAAATCAGATCAGGGACTAATAGTGGGGTCAGTTAGCTGTTCAATTGCACTTGCTACATATAAAGCACAATTCTTAATTCAGAATCATTAATACATATATTTTTGACATCTAACGAAGTGGTGTTGAAAAGTGGCCCCAGTTGAAAATAGCAGGCCTCGAAAATTTTGCTCATTGACATTGAGCTCTATGTTAATTTATCAATCTTCAAAAGACCCCCTGCAGAACAGTTTTAGAGTAATAATGCCCATTCTCCTATTATGTTACAATAACATGATTATCTTCAAAATAAGAAGGGTTAAATTGTTTCTTTTACCTATACTAGTTCCAAAGATATTGACGTTTAATATGGAAATTCCCCATTGACTGCCATTTTGTAAACGGCTATCAATATGGCTTTGCTAAAGTGTCATTTTCTCAAAAAGTCCACTGTGAATTTTCTAATATTGCAGATTCCTATAGTTTATATATTGATTTTAAAAAAATCAAACAGGTACATTTTTGGAAACTTCTTATTTTTGATATATTTTTGATAAATTAACATAGGGCTCAATAGAGGTTTTTATAGATTTAACAGCTAATTGTATCAAAAATAAGAAATATTTAGAAATGTACCTGTCTGATTTTTTTTAAATCAATATATTAACTATTACTGGATGAGCATAATGTAAAAGTGGTTTTGAAAAGTAGCAAATTTCTCTTTATGTAGGTTTTTTGTGGTTTATTATTCTACATCGATTCTGAAACTATTGGTGTCTAGTTTTTCAGCGTTTTGGAAATATGCAGATTTATACCCCCCTGGTGTTATTTTAAGAGGGGTCCTAGGAAAGCCATGTATAATTCCTAGAGTATCCAACCAATCATCTTGAAATTTACAGGTAACCAT